AACACAATTATAAAAGATAATCTGGTGGGAATAGTAGTTAATAAATATGAGATATTATTCAAATTTCAGGCATATAAACCGTACATTACATACCGAAATAAAACGTAATATTTTAATGCGACAATTACTATTTGATATTTCCTTCACGTATTCAAATAGTGAGTAGTGTTTAATGAAAAAACGTATCCTTTCTGTCATCGCTACCGGATTCAGAAATGTATGTATGTATGTATGTATGCGCGTGCATATGTACGTATGTATGTATGTACACCCACCCAAAAATGCATAAGTACGTACTTATATAAATGCATTCATGAATATATAATGCATTTCTAAATCCAATATCGATAATAGAAGAATACAGCGGAAAAAAAGTTAGCAATGAATTTCACTTCAGTATTTTCTTTAATAGAAAATTAATACTTAAATTTATCCAAAAACATAGTAACTCATAATAAATATTAAGAATGGCTTCTGAAAAACTCTGAGCTGCTTTTGAACAGAAAAGCCCATTAATGTATCTGCAATAATATCTCCGAACACGGATAGTTCGGTTAGGTTATTTAGACATCAAAGCACTAAAACAAGGCATGCTTTCGTGGAAGCTGTTGTAAGGGAAATTGGCTCGTATCCACAACCACATGTGAAAAAGCTATGAAAACACCTACTCAGTGAGCCCATTCATCGGGGTTTGAACCCGGGTTGAACTATCAATATTCAGCAGTATTAACCCCATGGCTACTGGTTCGCCCAAGAATAGTTCCATACGTGATCAAATCCTGGGAAATATGTTCAGCTGCATGGGAGTTTCATTCCCCCTCCCTATAACACGAATCTAGCCAATTTTCTTTTAGAAAGTCTTCCACGAAAGCATTTCTTTCCTTATGCAGCCAACCTTTTGTGCTTTGCTATAATTCAAATGTCATAAGTAAAAGTCAAAATTTTCTCATCTATATATATTTTTATTCATCTGACTGCAAAAAGCTACGACACATAATGTTTAGTCAAATACGACAAAATAAAACACCCTTCTGGATTTTTTTTTGAACATTTAATACAATTCTGTTCATAGAGTTATGTTAGAGAGAGTTCCTGCATTTCAACGCCCACCAGCGGCCGAGCGGTAAAGTCGCTGAACACTGGTTGTTCGGTCCGAGGTTCGAATCCCGCGAACGGGCTGGCTGCTTGGGCGTTTTCGTGGTTTTCTCCATGTATAACTTGTATACGAACCAGTGTTCCTTAGAAAGTCCTCTCCGAAGGCATCCTTGGGCAGATAGCCCTCGAGGCTTTGCCGTAATCACACACACACCTACACTGCAACATCGCAATTTTAAAAACGAGGGATCTCTTTTTCTGTACACAACAAATCAAAAAACTCTCCAATTTGTGCAGCGGATTTTATTTTGAATATCACTCATAACACAACGCTACAAATTTAATGAGCTTAACTTAACTTTTCTTAAAATCATGACAACTTTCGGTACATCGCGAGCGACTCCTCGGACTAAAAATGGCGGCAGCTGATACTCTGTGATCATGATTACCAGCATCGCAGCCAAGCTCGTGAGAGGCAACGTCCTTCATGAAAGCATCCCTCTCCTTTGGCAGTTAGTCCTTTTGCAAGCTCACGTATTTTGCTATAACACAATAATCCAATCCAGCTACTTGTAAAGCTTCTATTATTCCATAAGTATAAAGAATTCTAGAATTCATCACAATCTATGTGCAAAAAGCAACTCTCGATATCTTGTAATCTCTTGATGTCGGTGTTCCAACGATACTTGGGTTTTAAGTTTGTCGTTATTTAGAAAAAAGGAACCATTTTTAATTAAAAAGTTTAAAAAGAAAAAGAGTTCCTTTTATCCTACTCAGAGTCTTTCTATGAGTTCCTATTGATAGGAATTCATAGGACAGTTAGTTCTTATAGTCGCTTGGGTTGACTACGTCAGACAAGTGAACATAAGTAACAATAACAAGTAAAACAAAATTTCCACTTGGTAGAACGCAATACTTAGTAAAACCAGTTCTGAAAGTTTGCAGTTAAAATCTTCATATTACATTTAGCTTAAAATATATGTTTTCTTTTTTAAAAAAGAAATTTTTCTTTATAATTCATTATAATTCAGGTTAGTTTTTTTATTATTGAGATAACATGCATGTTGAAGCACTGTTTATAACAGTTTCTTAAATTAGAATCTAGTAATATTGAAGTCTAAAAAAATCTTTTTAACAAAATAAAGGATTATATACCTCTTCTAATGTCATTCCATTCTCTTTCATTTTCTTTTCAACTGTGGTGAATCTCTCTGCAAGACACAAGAAAAAAAAAAACAAAAAAAAAAAAAAAAAAAAAAAAAAAAAAAAAAAAAAAAAAAAACAAAAAAAAAAAAAAAAAGCAATAAAGTAGTAGCTTAAATTTATTTTTAACGACTTGCTAAACGATTAATCTTTGAAAAGCATACTTTGCTACAAATTTCTACAGACGATCCATTATCAATATAGTGAATCGTTTACAAACACATTACTTTATATTCAAGACCATTACTTTCAAAATAAGAATTCAGAAAATGGATAGTATTAATTTATAAGATATGTAGTAATAATTAAAATAACACGTCGAAGAACAAAAATACTATAGCAACAAGAATGAGCGTTAAGTTGCGTAAACTTGCTGCGCTAGTTTCGAAGGTTAAACAAAGCCTGCTTCTTCAGTTGCAGGGCTGAAAATGACGGAGGAGAATCATGCACCCTCGCAATACAAACGGAAAAAAAAATCCAAATCTTACAGCTGAGGAAGAGGAAATAAAGCCAATGGTGCCATATATTGGCAAAAAGTGCAAACAGCTATGAAATAGTCTCTTGGAATCTAGAGGTCTCTTGGAAATTTAGAATATTCATAATCAGTGCTAGTTAATGATCCTAATTTTAATTTACTTTTATCTTCTTCTTTTCACTTTTTGTCAACAGATGACGCCATAAGCTTTATTTCCTCTTCCTTAGCTGGATCTTTTTTGGAAATTTTTGTCTATTGTTATTGAGTGCATACATGCAATAACAAGCACTCAAGAACAATAGACAAAATAGTCAATAGACAATAGTCTTCGTTATTTTCACGCCTGGCAGTTGAAGATATAGATTCTAATTAAACTTCGAATCTACAGCTTTGCAAATTTACGCTTACGCTGATTCGTAGTGCTATGTTATCTTTAACGTAAAACATGTAATTTGTGACAAAAAATTAAGCAGAAACAAGTCTTGCTTTATCAATTAATATAAAGAGGAAACAAAGAACACGATATAACGCAATATTAAAAAATCTGATACGGACAGCCTATGACTTCCTCCAACGGCTCATTGAATTAAGCACAATTTTTGCTACACCTCGTTGAAGCTTATTTCGCATTAAAAAAATTTAGTTCTCACTTCGCGGCAAAACAAAAATACATAAAGACTCAGAAAGACCTCCATTACCATTTGTAAAATACAGAAAACATAAACATCAAATACAAGTTTAAAAGAAAAAAACGACTTTTGAAATTAGAGTTTCTAGGCCAAAATAAACAATTCGGCCATCGGGCAGGAAGACGAAATTTTCGGTGCATAAAACTTTCAACATAGCGTTTGCTCCCACTGGGCAAAAAGACACTTAAGATGGTGGCCCAACTGACTTAATTCATTATACAATTCACAGTTTCAAATGCAAACAAACAGCCGCCACGTTAGGCCTAGCCACCACTTACACTATTAAATTCCTGATAATTCTAAAACTATTGCACACAGATTAATTAAAGGTATAAAAACCTTAACCGAAATATACGAACAATTTAATTCGTTCACTTTTAAAATAAACTTGCACAATTTACCAACACATAAGAATTTAAAAAAAAAAAAAATGAGTTCATCGAACTGGGTAAGAGGAAGAGTATATAAGTACTATATGGTTGGTGCGGCCGATTGCAACAAAAAACGAAAGTGGCCAACTAGGTATTATAGCAGTCCCCATATACAAAATTCTAACGTTCTACGGCTAATTGTTTTTGAGTTATGCGAGATACATACATATGCCACAAAAAAATTCTTTCTGAATCCATTTTAAATCTATTTTACAATCCGTTTTGGAAAATACCGTCCTTTATTCTATCGAATCGTTCAATTGCATTCGAGATATTCAATTGCATTCAAAATAGAAATTTTCGTTAAAACATCTTACGCTAAATTTTGGCGATTATAATACATCCTTTACTTCGTTCAAACAAGTAAAAAGCACTCACCATGGGCTAGATAAAGTTTGACTAGAGCGACCAGAAAGGCTTCTGAAGTAAGTACGCTGTTCTTCGTGAAACGTAAAACAGCGCATTCAAGCACTTTGTTACTGACAGTGAGACCTAGGAAAAAATGCAAAAGAAGCAATATTATAAGAAAGAAAGTTATTTTAGTTAATTAATTGCAACATTATGTGAGCTAATAATATGAACTTTTGATAAAATCTTAAAATTTATTAATACGAAGACGTCATTTCTTGTACTCTTCTAAAAATTTATGTAATGTTTTTCTAAGAAAACAAAAATTAATAGGATACCTGTATTAGACGAAACCTTTTCTTGCATTAAGTGAAGAGACAATCACATGATTAGTTGCAAAATACTACATATCAAAGAAAAAGCAACTGTTGGTAATTATCAGATTTAACAGTTCTTATATGTGGGCCGAAATTAGGTATCTCGAATATAACGTGAAAGAGAAGAAAGTTCAGGGTAACGGAAGTTTTCTTTTCAGAAAAATTTTAGAAGAACAATTCATAAGAAATTAACGACGTAGAACACACATTAAAAAACATTAAATGTTATATCAATATTTTTTTTTAAGTTTTCACTATAAAAATTTAAATGCTGTCTTTTAGTTAAATACGTTATAGAAACACAAATAATGTTCTATTACGTATAACAATAAATTAAGTAAAATAAAATTTATACTAATTTTCAAAACTGTATCTGAATTTATTCCCAAGAAAACGATACACAAATATATAAAAATTAAACCTTAACTAAATTATAAAAGTATGCATGTTTAAAAATAAAACTAAATCATAAAATAAAAAAAAATCTGAAAGCTTTCAGATTTACCTACGCCCAAGGGTGTTTTATTTAACGTTTTGTGTATTACCTTCATTTAGTAAATATCATATTCTTCTTCGCACTTAACCATTCAATTCAACAGCAATATCGCAAAATAATTTTAAAAAGCAAGCATATCTTTAGAATTTCCGATACACAGTCTCGCGCGCTGGAGATAAAAATGTTTTTTTCCCCCCTTTTTCGTATAGTGTTGCCATTGCTCGTTTTGAAATCCTTGAGTTTGTTAATCAAAAATTCGTTAAAGCTTTACTAAATATGAAATAGATAATAAAACAAATTTCAGATTCCGAATTCGGGCTTCCAGATGCCCATATTCGGTGGAGGATTACGTTATTCAAAATTCGATGTCTCTAGGTACCGTTATTTTATCACAATTCGAGAAACATACATACATTTATGCAGATTCTTCATGATTTAATTTCTTTAAATATAATGCAGAGCTCTAATACTTGGTGGCAACAATTTGTAAAGTGAACCGGCATTTATAGTAAACCAACGCAAAATGCCAAAACGAAATTAGTCCTTCTGGGCAAACTGCTCCTTGGACTAAAAATTCCTAATAATAATTCATAAATATGATACTGGAAATTTTTCGCGGTTACAATACTTCCTTTGGTTCATACAAGGAAGTAAGAAGTAGTTAGACTGATCAATATTTTTCACAGTAAATCAGTAAAGAAATGTTTTTACTTTACCTCTTAACCTCATAAAGCTTTTTCTAAACAGATATTTTATTTTTAGTTACGTAAAAATGCAAACATTTCGCACTTTAAATTTGTAAGGCACTTGGATATGGTCTGATATTTTAATATTAAATATTTCGGTCAATTTTTTATGTACCGGTGTTAGACTTGTTTTATTTTATATTTATGACGACAACAGGATTTAAAAAAAAAATAAGTATAAGGACCGCAGAAACGTAATTATTATAAAAATTAGATATCATAATTTCATAAAATTTATTTCTCTAAATGTAGAAGTCTAAACAAGACTCTGAGTCATTTAAAACGTTTTTATGACTGGAAGTATATATTGCGAAAGTAAAAACTGGTTAAGAGATTTTGTAGCGACGGTGTATATTTACCTGATTTATAATAACTTGATGGTTGCATAATTTGTTCTCGGGGATCTTCCCCTCTCTCCCGAAAAAAAGCAAATGTACATTTATGTGCCCCACTGTATATGTTTAAGCATATGTTGAGTCATTAACTATATGTGTGATTCAGAAAAAGTCGCAACGATATGCATGTAGGCAGCGAGATCAAAACGTTTAAGATCAAACTCTAGTATACTAGAGTATAATACCTTTTCGTACATTTTGCACACACACAAAATTTGGGACAGTTCTATATTTCTTGTTATACTGAACCGTTGGACGAAATTTAATTTGCGTTTTTCATGCTTCGAAAGCGTGACTTAGTATATATTATATTTATATGTATAGCACTATTCTAACACAGGTATTTTGACACAAAATCGGGCTTTTTCTGAAATGATATACCGAATTTTTTCTCGTATTTCTACTCTACTACTACAAATTTTTAATAGAAATTTAAAAATTTATACTGGAGCGTATTTTTAAGTTTGAGCCAAGAATGGCACTTGGCGAAATTCTTAATTCATGGCAACCTAATTTCCTTTTCCTTTCGCTGTACATGAGACGAAAAAGAAGTACCTCGTTAATTCTTTGAAATAATTTTAATAAAGTGAGTAAACCATATTTGGCGTTATTATCGCTTAGAACAAATATTTTAAATTTGAAAACTCGCTAGTGTATAAATTCATGCAAATCTTGGGAAATTTTTCAATAAAAAATTTTAATGTTTTGCAGCTATGCCTACTTTAAGGTGATGGTAAAAATTTTGTATTTATAAAAATTACTAAAAAATACAAATTTAAAAAAACAATCAGAATATAAAATTACTAAAAAATACAAATTTTAAAAACGAATCAGAATATAGCTGTGAATTTTATTTGGATTCAATCTAAATTTCGAACTATGAAAGAATGAATCAAGTTTAATTTAAAAAAACCTGATATGTACACCACATGACTTCCTTGTACGGAATATTAAATTATACACAATTTCTCTTGCATTTCATTTAAACTCATTGGATTGAATGAAATCGACTTCGTCGATAGCGCATAAACCACAACGGAATAAATGAACTCTTTAAAATTCGTTTACCATAAGGACACTCTAGTCCTAGATTCACTTAACAGCTTTACATTTCATTCTTTTTAACACAGAATGCACAAAATTTATATCATCTTAAGAATTATCTAATGTTCCACATGTTCCTATCAATACTATAAAATCTAAAAGATGCATAAAGAAAGTAAGCAAACCACAACAAAAAGAAAACAGTTTTTCAGAGACGATTCAGTATTTCTCTCAATTAATTCAGTTTTCACTTCGCACCTGGCAAAAATACATTAAATCAAAATATCGGTATTAAAATTACGAAGTAAATCTTTAATACTATTTCCCTCAAAATTCCAGAAAGGATTAGCATGATTTAATTCGCATAATAATGAAGGCGTTATTTTTGTTTTCGAAGCTTAGTCTGTCTAGATTGGCACATCTACAATTCTTGCTGTTTCAAATGTAAACAATAGGCTCGTTATGTTATTTTAAAACTGAACCGCAACTTAAACAGCTTTTAAATCGTTGATAATTGTACAAATATTGCTTCCAGATTACGAAAGGGCATAAAAACTTTTAACCGAAATAAAAACGACATAATTCAATCATTTTAAAGCAAAAAAATGTACAATTACAAACATGTAGCGTAAAGAAACTGAGATCATGAGCCGGGTAACAGAGTGATATATTTAAATATATTTTATATACGTTTGGCGCGGCGCCCGATTGAAAAAATGAGGTGCCCATTTACATGTTATAGTAGTCTTATATCAATTTCAACGTTTCTGAGGCTACTCATTTGAAAAGAATTATCTTATCCTTGCCACATGTTCTATTCAAATACTATAATAAAGCTAGAACGATGTATGAAAGAAATTTAGCAAACAAAACAAAAACGAAACAGTTTTTCGCAGACGATTTAGTATTTCTCATTCAATTAATTGGGTTCTCACTTTGCGACAAGGCAAAAATACATAAAAACTCAAAATATCTGTATTGAAAATTACGAAGTAAATATTAAACACTTATTTCCTCGAATAAATCCGAGAATGGATTAAGCATGATTTAATTCGCAATAATAAATGAAAGCGTTATCTTTGTTATTTCGAAGCTTACTTTCTCTAGATTGGCAACAAATTTACTATTATAATGTTTGAAATGTAAATAAACATGGCCGCCATGGCAGAAATATTTAGGCTTAGCGGCACTTAAACAACTTTTAAGTTGTTGATAATTCTAAAACGATTGCATGCAGATTTACTAAAGGCATAAAAACTTTAACCGGAATATAAAAACAACAGAATTATATAATTTTTAAAGCTAAAAATGCACAATTTACGAACATATAAGAATACATACACTGAGATTACTGAGCTGGGCGAATATATATATAAATATATTTTTATAAGTTTGGTGCGGCCGATTGCAACCAAAATACGAATATTACATGTTATAGCAGTCTTATATACCAAATTTCAACGTTCTGAGGCTACTCGTTTTTGAGTTATGCGAAATACGTACGTACGCCACGAAAAATTCTCTTCAGAATTCCTTTTAAATCAGTTTTATAATTTTTTGGGGGAAAACGAGTTATTTATTCTGCCCTTACGTACAGATGGCACGCGGAAACAACGTTAAATTGCATTCGATAGCGGTCAAAATGGATATTTTCGTTGAAATATGATATCCGAAATTTTTCGCTATTACAAGACTTCCTTTTTATTTCGTACAAGGAAGTAAAAAAAGAGATTTTAATAAATACATAACAAATTCAATAAACATTGAGAAGCTAAAATTTTGAGAGCTAATTTTTAAAAAACTGCTCGTGCGATTTTACAAAGCTTGGCACTTTGGCATAATTTGAGTCGTAGAGTCAATATATATATATATATATATAAAAAAAAAAAAAAAAAAAAAAAAAAAAAAAAAAAAAAAAAAAATTATGCGTCCTTTCAGAAAAATTCCATTTTAGGGTCAGAATACCTACGCTAGAACGATGCTATATAAAAATTTAATATATAATCTAAATCGTGCTTTCGAGGCATTAGAAACGCAAGTTAAATTTCGTCAACCCGCCCGGTAGAACGGGAGATACAGAACTGTCCGATTTTTACTTGTGCGAGGTGTACAATATACGTCCGAGCTAAATCACCTATCGAGTCAGGGTCAGATTCGTAATACATCAATATCTGGAAACTTTCCTTTAAAGTTTAGCAGGATGTTAGCAAGTATAACTCAAATTATACATACTCATTCACATAACAGACAAGTTAATCAAGAGTGCTCTGGGATAAGCTTCATTTAATAGCAATCTAATGCAATTTTATAAATAATTATATCAAACTAATACAATTTTATAAATAATTAAACTCACCAGCATCCCATAAAAGGCCTCTGAAATTGAAACTGCTAGTTTTGCTTCTGTTGTTAGGATCATGCTTCGCAAATGCTGCCTGTAAATAAGACCGTCATTCTCAGCAAGAAAATGTGCATTTCACATAGAATTTATAATATATTTTGGTAACAATACTGAACTAAATTTCAAAAATAATAAATTTTTGTCACAAGACAGGATTTCAAAGATAAAGATGATTATATTGCTGAATAGGCTTTTATTTCTCTGAATACATTTAAACCTCAGTACACGAAATTATTTTGTTCCTGCAGCTCGTTCGTTTACCGAAATGTTAGTAAAGCGATGCCATTTTTCCTCATGGGAATTAAAAGGACGAAGAATGGATTAGTTGGTTCCCGGGCCACAAATGATTGCTTATTGAAACTTTACACCAGTAATTTGCTCATAAATTCATAACCTAAAATTATAATCAAAATAATGGATCATAAATGGGCATAGCCAAACATGGACATCATTAATTGTAAAACAAAAAAGGTAAAACACAATATCCCCACCCTCCAATGGCAGGCTGAAGCCATTTACAGGCTTTGGCGGGAAGTGGTGGTGTCTTTAATAATAGGTTAAGCCACCGTTGCCTCCTATGGTTTATTAGATTACGGCAAAGCCCTCGAGGGCTATCTGCCTTAAGGGAGGGATGCCTTCGTGGAGGACTTCAAGTGGAAAGGAGTCAAACAGCTTTGAAGGTGACAAGCCGACTTTAGCTAAGTTTCGTCCCCAATTTTGAGTGAGAGAACCCCGGGGGAGGAATCTGATGGTCTCCCACCTCTCATCTCCTACCACAGCCTGTCGAGAGAGCATTCGGCTCGCCGCGTATTTAGAGTTCCCTCATGACGCACAAACACTTTGCATTTACAAATATCCATGCCTTCTCCGACATTCGAATCTGAGACCTTTGGTACGGCAGTGAGAGTGCATTATTTCAATTAGTTCAATATAGTCTATTTTATTATCTATTACTGCCAATATCAGATTACGTAATATACAAGTGCTACACAGATATCGCATGTAATGTATAGCAATAATAAACTTTTAATCGTGACTCTTTTCTGCATGCAAGACTAATTTTTTAATGCAAATTTTCTTGTTATATTTATGCAATTAAGGGCCAGTAACAAAAAATCCTATAGCAGCTTTAGTGTAAAATATAATTTTGTACTTACGCAGAGCTAGGCATTCATACTCAAATTTTAAACTGTATCTGAATGCAATATCGTATCTGTAACTGTTAATTAACTTGCTAAGGAACCTAATCTATTTATTGCTCAATATTTTGATATCAGTTTAATAACGTGCATTATTGCTCCTTTTTGCTAGTATCAGCATGTTTTGTTTATCAATTTTTGTCTAATGCATCGTAGCGTTAAACTTAATGTTATTACGGCCGATGTAAGCTTAAATTGTCTTGACAGGGTACATGCGTGCGTGAGTGTAAATTTTGTTTGCTTGCGTATATTTTTGTAAATATGTATGTATATGTATGCATTTGTGTTTGCGTATTTAAAATATTGTATTTTTGCTGTATTACGAAGATTTTAAAAGTACTGCATAGCAGTGAATAACCCTTTTTACAGCAGTGAAGGATCTTAAACTTTATAATCATATCCATCAAAGATCTTACCGGCCTATATTTATGTAGCCCTGGTCGTAAGGATATACTTCCACTTACAAAAATGCCTTAAATGATGCAAACATTTATATTTTAGCATATTTAAATTTTAAAAAAATTCGTAAAGGTATAACGTATTTCTCCCGCCTTCCTAGCGTGCCTTCGTGGTGTAGTGGTTCTGCACGCTGGGCCGGTGTTCCAGAGGTCTGCGGTTCAATTCCCGGCGAAGGCGGTTGCTAATTTTTCATCTCTCCGGCTTTTTCCAATTAGCCTAATGTCTCTACAGTGGCGCCCGAACTAAAAGGGCGTTGGATGATGATTCTCCTCATCCAGGATTTGTCAATTGGGTCCCCTAAAAACCCCAGTCCCCCTCTAAAAGGGGGAGTATATAAGGTATTTCTCCTCCGCCTTCCTAGCGTGCCTTCGTGACTAGTGTTCTGCACGCGGCCTATATTCCAGAGGTCCGGGTTCGATTCCCTGAGAAGGCGTTGCTTAATTTTTATCTCGCTTGCTTCCAAAAATCCTAAGTCTCTAAACGTTCGAAAATTAACATTTGTACATTTCCCCGTTTATTTTACATGTACTTAAAATTTTATACTCACTATAAAAACTAAAACACAAACGTTTGAGTCCCGTACTTAAGTTTGATCAGATAAATGAGTATTTTAATTTAAAGTTACGTAACCAAACTTGAGGACATACTTCATACAAAGTTGGAGATCATATTAAGGGCCGTCACAACTGAACTCCGAAATGTTTGACTTTTTTTAACTTTTAATAAACCGCCAGATGCAAACGGTTTCTGATTTAATAAATTAGTAACGAACAATCAACGCCGAGTGCCGTGAAAGTATTGATCAAGTAATTTTTTTTTTCAAAATGATATCCTCATTCACAGAATATACGATTGACATTTTTCTGTATTAGCACTTCACAACCCGCAGAAATCTCAGACAGGTCAGGAAAATGGACGGACACCAGAACTTCGTCAATGCTTTTACAGGTGTTGGCTCCGCGCACTACTGTACCCCGCTGGGCTTAGTTGGCCCGCATCGATGCTAGCCGACCAGACATTTACTATAATTTTATTAATATTAGCTACGTATTGAATATACAATTACAAAGACATGTAGACAATATTGCAAGAATTAACCTATTAACAGAAATCATAGAATCGCAGAAATCAGCAGTGCTCTCGCCGCGATTCGAACACTGTACTTTCCGACGCGTGTAGGACGGCTTCTAGTTAAAACCACGAGGGCAAGCGGAAAGGCGGGAGAAAATATCGCATAATAAAACAAATTTGAAAAATACCGCATCCAGATGTTTATTGACAGGTCTCATAATTTTTACCTAACGCATCTTGATTGTAGAATTTACTATAAGATATTCCTTACTACTCTCTAATGAACTCCTAAGCGTAACTCAACGAATTACTCAACTCGCTGTCTTAGCTAATTGCCGAGAAGTAGCTATGCTTCTTCAGTACTAAATTGGCAAAGGGGAAAAGAGTTCTACAAATTTCAAGCCTTTGTGTTCCCATAGAGAGGTTAACGAAATTTCATTGGCTATTACAATTTTCAAAAAGTCTCCAATTAAACGACATTTTTCCAAAATGCCGAAAATTTGTCGCTGAGGTTTTCAAATCTTAAATTTGATATCTACTATCCGTATATCATTTATAGGTAAAATTAGCTTATCAGTGATTCGAGGATAAAAGCACAGAACACAGAGAGATTCTCTCGGCCGTTTTTCCTTCGTTGTTTTCTTCTTGTGTAATATAAATAGTTACCAGTTTTCTTTGAAACGTCTTCTACGAAGACCTTTCCTCTTAACCTTTGCATGTTCACCAAAATGACATGCGATTTTGTAATGATATAAAGATAAGGCCTATACTAATTCAGAAGTCAAACAACAAAAATCAGCGTAATATTTGCAAAATTTTCACAGGGACTAGTTTCGATGGTTTTACCGAACCACCATCTTTCAGCTGCAAAACCGCAAATGATTCGGCGTGTTATTGTGTCTTAATAAGGCCTATAGTCAAAAAATTACCTAACATCTTTTCATAACTAAAATTACACAAATGAAATAAGCATTACTTAACACACAAACGTGATTTTCCTCAATCAAGAGACAAGGATCATATCTAAACTTTTGGTTGTTATTTATACTTTTTTTTGTCTCTATTTTTTTTAACTCACTGTCGCTCGAAATAAATTTATTAATAACAGTTTAATCCGTAATATTTTTGAAAATTGTTCGCATAAGTTAATAAAATAACGAACTAGCCATCTATTTCTATTGCATTTTGGGCCCCCCAGTAGCCGGGCGGTAAAGTCGCTGACCACTGGAGTAGTTCGGTCCGGGATTCGAATCCGGGCGAACGGATTGGCTGCATAGGCGGTTTCGTGGTTTTCCTAATGTGTGATGTGTATACGAGCCAAAAAGTCCTCCACGAAGGCACCCCTTCCTTTAAGCAGATAGTCCCCTAGTGCTTTGACATCAATAAATAAACACAAACGAAGCGCATTCCGTTTTGACTGCGATTTAAACTTCTGAATAAAATGGAAAACTTCGATGACAATGTAGGGAGTGTATATGGGGACACATTATTTATTCATGACAACTTTGGTACGACTTAAAAATTTGCTTAAGAAAGAGAGAATTAATTTTGATATCGAATTCTTGGAAATAATGCGTATTCCTGTAAGCTTCCGAGTTTCACTTTACTAAATTTCAAGGAAACATTCAAATTTCCACTATTCAATGTAATCTTTGAAGTTTTTAACTTCCGGTAAAAGTTTTTTCATGAATTTAATTTCGTTCTAAACTTGTGCTAAATGATTTCAGTTTCTGAAATCAAGTTTGAGCTCTAATTAACATGAGACTACTTTAATTCAAAAAAACAGGTTGTTAAATACTAGTTTGTGACTGGAAGTATTTTCGTTTAGCTACCAGAATATGGCAAAGTGAATGAAGTCTATCTGCCTGAGGGAACGGATGCCTTCTTAGAGGACTTCCTAAGAGAGACTGACTCGCATTCACGTTACACATGGGCAAAACCATGAAAAACAATCTTGCAGCCAGACTGTTCTTCTGGGTTCGAACCCAGGAAGAACTACACAGCATTCAGCAGTTTTTAATTGCTCAGCCATTAGAATCTGAAGTAAAAAACCTACAACCAGAGACTTCTAAAATAAAAATACTTTATTCCTAAAATAAAAATTAAAAATATTTCTTTCTATATTTCTTCTCCTAAAATAAAAAATATTTCTTTGTTTTGTAGAGTATCATTTATGTTTCTAAACTTATTCTTTGCGAAATTCATTTCTTATCAGACTCGTTTCCTTTTCCTTGCCAGAATGTAAATTTTTTAGCTCGCTCGATATTCAAATCAAGTAGAAAGAAGAAAGTGCTTAAAGGATGGG